GCAGGTGGAGGATTAGCCTATTGAGCCACAGTGCCGGCCAGAATTAGGTCTTAATACGAAGTTTGGAGTGACACACTCAAAACAAAGCACCAGGTACTGCAAACAGCCTAGCAGGTGACCAAGAAACGAATCACTAGTGATAGCCCCCTGTCTGTCTTCACGCGCAGGCAGGTGGGGAGCAACGTTCCGTGCAGCCGAGTCCTCGGCAAAGGCTTCACGTCAGCAGTGCTGCCATCGTGAGACTTAGCTCATCGGGCCCATCTGAGCTCAGTTCAGCTACAACTGTTCTCAGCACTGACTTTGCAAGCACCTGCTCCCTCTCCCAGTGATGTGACAGAGCAGTGGCTCCCAACCAGGTACAATTTTGGCCCTCAGGAGACATTTACCTATCTCTGGAGACATTTTTCGGTATTTCAGTGGAAGCTGGGGTGCGTGTTCCTGACATCTAGCGGGCACAGGTTGACATCTAATGGGAAGTTGCTGCCAACTTCTAAACAGTCTGTTTTTCAGGAGTTATGAAGCCTAGAAGGGATTTCAAACCCACCACAAGGACAAGGCCCCCTGTCACTCTCTTAGATGCAGGGAGAGCCGCATTTACCCTTTGGTAGCTACTACTCACCAAAAACCACTTACTGAGTAACGATTCTTGCAGTCATTTCTAATGCTTCTTGTGGAGTCATGTGTCTACCTAATTTTTATTCTGTAGCCACTTAGAAATACAGCCAATCATGTGCTCCCTAAGTGCTCTCCACGGATATTTCAGAAAACTGAGAAACGTTAATGGCTAGAAATCCAGTGTCACGGTGCCAGCATCAGGGTAGGTTGGTTTATCAGTTACTTTTTTCCCCAAAAAATCTTTTATTTAAGGAATACAAACTTCACACATTTCATAATTACACCTGTAGGAACCTGGTGATTCTTCCCACTGTACCCGCCCTCCCACCTCCATCAGTTATAAATTGTCCATATATCAACTCCTGAAGACAGAAACAAGTCATTGTCTTGGAAAATTATAGAGGTTTGCCTTTTCTCTCATGTTAAGGCAGTTCAAGTTCTATCCTACCATGGCTTTTATCCCCAAAGATGCCTAAACATACCTAATAACCATAGCAGCTCCAGTCATTGTACCCACACTCCAGGCAGCAGAAAATCCAGTGGGGTAAAAGACAAGAAGAAAGAGATCTTCCCAGATAAATCAGCCCCTGTGATGCGATTCCCAGAAGGTTGCACTCAAGTTTATATTTAAGTAGCAAACCAAGATTCTGACCACACACATAATCTTTTACATACCATTTCCCCAGGGAACCTTTGTAAATTAGCCATACCATTTTAGGGAAAAAGAATTCTTTGTAAGCAAGGAGCCCCTGTAGTTGCCACAGAGCACTCATACATAAAAATGGGAACAAGCTTCTTAACTATCGAATCCAACAACATCCATTATTCCTACTATGGGTTGTTAGTTACTGGGAAGCTTTGCCTTCACCTGCCTCTGTGTGGAGAGCCCATGTGTGACACGTACAAGGCAGAGCCTGCAAAGAAAGTGCGGGCATCTTCAGTCCACAGGCACGGCCCTGCTCTGTCAGGTTGCACTATACGGTTTGCAGAATGTGGGAAACTTTATTTCTGTTTGACTTCAGATGATGAGATGTAAAATGGGGTGGGGATGGGACAATGTTCAGACTAGGGAGGAGCAGTACTCAGACTGGGGGGTGGTGGAGACAAGATACTGGATGGCCATGGAGTGGTGGCCAGCCATGTGTGGGAGAATCTCCTGCAAGCCTGTCGCACACAGATCAACACTCATGAGATCAGGACAACCAAGGGAAGGTGACCTGTGACCCTTTCTTCAGTTTGCTGACTTGTAATGCTGTCTCCACCCAACTGCCAAGCCTGTTTCTGAAACACAGAAGACTGCTCTTCCGAACCTGGAAATTTTTCTTTTATACAAAAGTGTCCGAGATGAGAATAAAAAGGCAAAATATTACAAGGGAAATTCGGTCGGGTAAAGCCGTACTAAACTCATAAATTAACACAATTAAACAACAGTTGAAGCCAAGAGTGTTACTCTGTGGACTAAACACCCTTCTTCTTTCTCCTGCACGCTTCATCACCACTGTAGGTCACAGTGAGAGAGGTTGGCCCTCATGGGACCTTCCCCACAGAGCCACTTGGACTTTCGTTGGCTCCTTATTCCATTGTAAATCTTCTTGTCTTGATGGGCTTCTCAACAACTACCTTCACACTGAGCTGAGTGTGGACTATCCAGATTCCTCTCCCAATCCACTCTCCACCCCCCCAGCCGTGTCGCAAGAGGTTGACCTCCGGAACGGCACGGACCGGATTTCCTGGCCCCCGGGCTTCCAGTTGGTTCCACCAATAGAAGGAGAGCAGAGGGCAGGAGGAGCAGGAGGTTTGGCTATCTATTTGCCTGGTTTCCTCTCTGCAAGCTGCAGTTTTTTCAGCCACCGCAAGCACTCACCAAAGGCAGCCCTCCCTCCCTACAGCAAGGCTCTTGTTGAGGTCTGGTCATTCCTCCCCTTCTTGCTCCTTCATGACTCTGGGAAGCCCCCCCTCTTTTCTGTGGCAGGATGGGCATCTCAGCATCCCTGACCCAACCTATATCCCTTAGCTTTTTGCAAATTATCCATCGTTAACTCTTATCTGACACCCATTTGCTGCCAAGACACAGGTTAAAATGTCTTTGTTCTGCCTGGTCTGATTCTGTATAAGGTGCTATACTTCTCCTACAGTCTTCTTAAATGGAAGCACTTCTTACCCCACATTCTGAGTTCTAAAGAACCTCACATGCATGATGCCACCACCTGCTGGTCTCCTCAGAAAATTCAAAATTCAACATTGACTGTTTCTGCAGCATTCAGGTCATTATTCTAACTTGATTGCAACCCTGTGTGACCTCTAGTCTCTTGCATGTTCACTCCACCCATTTCCTCTGGTATCCATTCTACATACTATGCCCATCATTCTGACCACTCCTCACCAGATACCCCTTGTTTTCACTCCCACAGCCTCACTGATAAATGCCTAACTTGGCCCAATTGGCCAAGCCCTTCTTCTGAAAGACAAGCTGTTAAGTGCAGCTGAACAAGCCCACATGTTAAGGTGGATGGGGGACACTGCATTTATTCTTTAACCCCCACTGGATCTTCAGAAATACTCAATTTACTTTTCATAATGCTGACCAGATTCTTCTCACAGTCTTCTTAAAGGCTAATTCAAACATTTGCTGGTCTCCTCCACATCTTGTCTTGAAAGTCACAGAAAAAAAAAAAAAACAAACAAAGCCACCAGATGTGAATGAACTCACTCCACCCTCCTCCAAGTCTGTGAAGCTCAGTATCTGGCTGAGCTCATCCTGACTTTGTCACCCATCCCCCTAAGTATTGCTGAACTTCCTCCCATTTGAGGAAGCCCTTCCACCTGCAACATAGAACCCAATCCCTCTCGAACCCTTGGCCATCATTTATGCTGTTTCTTTCCTTTCCATTAGCTTCTTCCTTTAGATTCTGAATCCATGGTGGTCTCTCAATCCTAGAATCCCTGGGGATGTCACTCTTCAAAGTCAAATTACTTGAAGCAGTCTCCATTTTCTCCCCGACTCATTCATACTTCAGTCCTCTGCAGGGATCTCCACTTCACCATCCAATGAACATAAACTCAGTAAGTTGTTGCTAACACAACTGCCAGCTTCAACAGCAATTCTTAGTGTCTAGTTCACTTCTCCAAAGAGTCAATCCTATTGATTGTGCTTCCTTTTTGAAACTCTTTTCTCTCAATGTCTGTGCCTCTAAATTCTGTCTCTCCACCTTCCTCTTGGTTCTATCCTATTTTGTTTCTTCCTTGTTTTCTGCCCATTTCTTTAATGCTACTCTTTCAAGTCTTTATTTATCTTCTCACTCTCACATTGTCCCATGGCACATCAACTATATCCATCTCTATAATTCTTACTCCCAAATCTTTATTGCAATACATGCACTCTCCTGAGCACTGTGTTTATGTTCAGAACTGCTTGCCCTAGTAGACTAAAAGCTCCTTTAGAGCAAGGGCTCTATCCCTGGCATTTCCTATCCCCATGTCATCAGCACTTCACATGATGCTATTAGATTGCTATTAAAATTGGTGAGTTCCATTGTTATTAGATAATAGCTATCAGAACATAAAGACAAGTGAATGCCTACAATTTAAATCTCAAATATTTAAAATTCACAATAGCAAAATAAGGGGATTTGTGTGGTTGTTAAGAAGTTAAGGAAAACATTAGAGTTCCAAAAACAGGAAATAATTCCATCTACTTAATATGGGTTAATTACAGTCTAGAGAAAAGGACCTGGGTAGATGATGTTGCCGTGTACTAAGGTCCTTCCCAAGTCATGATTTATCAAATGAAGTATTTGATACAGTTCTGAACAAGCCATGTCAGTATACCTTGGTTTGGATTCTGATAATTATTCTGATTGTAAGTAGCTGGTTCAGCAGGGAATAGCAGACTCAGCACAAGCTTTGAGTATCACACAAGGTAACGTCTGAATGAAAGCTCAGTCTTCTCACTGTTTTGTGGCTTGGTGATACTGACGCTCAGTTTTACGATGACCATCAGAATTGAGACAGCAACTCACCCAAACACTTCACATTTAATTTACTGACATTCATTCTGATGTATTTTTGAACCAAGCATCTCTGCAAAGATTATAAAAGCCTCTCTTAGAACCAAACTAGTTCCTCTAAGAACAGACAGGCTAGTGTGGACTTCTCCAGTCCAAAAATTCTCATCAACTTGTAGGTTCTCTTTTTACAAAGTAACATCTATTATCTTCTTTACCTAGCTAAAATAGAACAAAGGTGATCAAATCAACAAAAAACACTGATTTACCTTAAATGTCAACCTGTTGCCTCCAGTTGTTTGGAACTGAAACTATGGACGCTGTCTCCTGCATCTGGGAAATCTGGTCCCCTCCCCTGCCCTTTTGCCTCCTCCCTCTTACCTGTCTTCCTCAGATCTCCTGGTCCACCCTCTTAGTGCTAATTGGTCAGCCTGGGAAGAACTGCTGCAGACTCACAGCCTTATTGGCCCAGATCACAGTCAATCCCTATTCTGGGCTGGCCTTTTCTCAAGTTTACACTCCTGTTGCCTAGGAAATCCCAGTGACTGTGAAAGCTCAAGCTGTTTACCCTGGGAGCGAAGCCAGCCGGAAGCCTTGCTCAAAATTGTTTGGTTTCTACAATGGTATTAAAACTTGTCACCCGTGTTTTATCTGCTAATATTTAGCAACTTGTCTTACATCTTTTAGGCAGCCCCTCCCTTCCTTCTGTTGTCTCCACTTATTGCTAGGGTACTTTATTACCAGGTGAGACTTAAATCATGACTCTTGGGAGCCCGCAGATGTAATTATAGGTGCTTCAAGGTTTTTCCTGCTTCTCTGCATTGACACACTGGTGTGGTGCCATTTCTGCTTTTCCCATCCTTGGTTTCTTCCCTCCTTTTTTCTTCTCTTTTTTACTTTTCTTTCACTTATTCCTTGGCACTAAGATTGCTAGATAAGAAGCAGCCTAGTGATTATCTAAATGATCTTGCCTTTCATTGAGTATGGCATTCACTCTACCCATGCCAGACTCACCCCTGTGCACCCTTACATCATGGAGTGACGTAAACAACCCAGCGCTGGAACTATGAAGGCTGGAGTCCCACTTTCCACTCCACAGCATACAGGATGTGTGTTCCCAGGCCAATGCTGGTTTCCAGGATCTCTAAAGTAGACAATGTGTCTTCTTTTCAACTTCTCAAACTTGCCTAGGAGAGCAAGGAGGTGGATTTTAATATTCTCTGTCAATTGTAATAAACACTGAAATCAGTTATGGAGATTTCTGACAATGTGATTTGTGGGGCAAGAAAAGCCCACTTGTTTAAAAGTATTTCCTACGTCTCTCTCCTGGAGTTAGATGCTGCTTCTAGAAGGCCCTTGCCTGTGGTGCATGACACCTGCCAGGCAACAAGAAGCTGCTGAGTTGGCAAGGATTAAATGTACCTCCCATTGCCTCGCTTAGGTAGTTTAGCTCTGGCTGGCCTAGTTTTGTTAAGCTGTGTCATGTCACTTTCAACAAGTGAAATTGTGAAGCTAAACTACTTAGCTGTTGAAGAGCAACAATTTAGGTAATATGAACTTCCAGCAACCAATAAATCCAAATTTTAATTAATCAATAACACCTGGGAAGCCAATAGAGTGCTCAACAGGGAGGACAAAGAGGGTATCTAGTTATCTTTGCATCTTCCAAGGTGCCCTACACAGATTCTGCACAGACATGAAATCAATCACTGTTGGCTGAGTCAAGTTATTGAGCTGAGTAAAATACATTCATACTATAGACATTGAAATATGAAATATGAAATTTGGAGTGGAGGCTTGGTTCAGTCATTAAGCTGCCACTTGAGATGCCTGCATCCTATACTGGAATGCCTGGGTTTGAGACCAGGCTCCACCTCTGCTCTCCACTCCAGCTTCCTGCCAATGTGCACCCTGGTGGGTAGCGGGTGATGGCTGAAGTAATGGGGCCTCTGCCAACCACGTGGGAGATGCAGATTGACATTGAGTTCCCTACTCCTGGATATGGCCTGAGCAAGTCCTGGCTGATGCAGGCATTTGGGAAATAAACCAGTGGATGGGAGATGTCTCTCTGTCTCTCTCTGTCAAAGGACTTGAACAGGCATTTTTCAAAAGAGGAAATTCAAATGACCAATAGACACTTGAGAAAATGCTCAGGATCACTAGCCATCAGGGAAATGTAAATCAAAACCACAATGAAGTTTCACCTCACTCCACTTAGAATGACTCTCATATAGAAATCAATAAACAACAAATGCTGGCAAGGATGTGGGGAAAAAGGTTCCCTAATCCACTGATGGTGGAGAGGTAAACTGGTGCAGCCACTGTGAAAGATAGTATGTGTCGAGCATCAGCTTACTATTTTATTCTTTTCAGTAATTTCTTTTTCTACTTAATATCATGGTTGATCTCTTTAATTAACACAAAATTATTCTTAGGTGTTTAAATTTCACTGAAAATTGATCCCTGTTAAAAATAAAAGTGGGAATAAGAGAGAGAGGAGATGTACAGTTTGGCACACGCTCACTCGGACTTAGTCCTAATGGTATAGCTAGAAACGTGCCATGGGACTCCAAATCCCATTAAGTTGGCATGTACCAATGCCGTCTTACTAGTTAAAGTGACAGTTTAAGTTCATCATTGACCATCATGAGAGGATTAAGTGTCAAAGGATCATATAAATAAGACCAGTGTCTGCTAGTAGTAATGGATATAATTAAAAAGGAGAGAATGACCCAACATGGGAAGCGGGATACACAGCAGACTCATAGAATGGCAAATGCCCTAAACAGCACTCTGGCCTCAGAATCAGCCCTTAAGGCATTCAGATCTGGCTAAAAAGCCTGTGAGAGTTTCTCAGGCATGGAAAGCCAAGACACTGGCAAAAAATGACCTAAATGAAAGATCTCTGTGTGTGAGATCCCAGCAGAAAGAACGGGCCATCAAAGAAGGAGTACCTTTCTCTTAAGGGAGGAGAGAACTTCCACTTTGATTACAGCCTTGTCTAAACAAGGTCGGAGTTTGTGAACTCAAGAGGCTTCCATAGCCTTGGCAGCTCATGACAAGAGCCTCGAGTGATTACTGACATCATAAATAAGAGTGTCAATTGTTAAATCAACAACAAGAGTCACTGTGCACTTACTCCCCATGTAGGATCTCTGTCCTTAAAGTGTTGTACTATGAGAATTAATGGTAAAACTAGTATTCAAATAGTACTTTATTCTTTGTGTGTCTGTGTGGGTGCAATCTGTTGAAATCTTTACTTAGTATATACTAAGTTGATCTTCTGTATATAAAGATAATTAAAAATGAACCTTGCTGGCGCCGTGGCTCAATAGGCTAATCCTCTGCCTTGCGGCGCCGGCACACTGGGTTCTAGTCCTGGTCGGGGCACCGGATTCTGTCCCAGTTGCCCCTCTTCCAGGTCAGCTCTCTGCTGTGGCCAGGGAGTGCAGTGGAGGATGGCCCAAGTACTTGGGCCCTGCACCCCATGGGAGACCAGGATAAGTACCTGGCTCCTGCCATCGGATCAGCACGGTGCACCGGCCGCAGCGCGCCAGCTGCGGCGGCCACTGGAGGGTGAACCAATGGCAAAGGAAGACCTTTCTCTCTGTCTCTCTATCTCACTGTCCACTCTGTCTGTCAAAAAAAAAAAAAATGAACCTTAATGAAGAATGGGATGGGAGAGGGAGTAGGAGATGGTATGGTTTGCAGGTGGGAGAGAGGTTATAGGGGGAAAAACTGCTATAATCCAAAAGTTGTACTTTCTAAATTTATATTTATTGAATAAAAGTTTTCTAAAAAAAAAGAAAAGGAAAGATTGGAGATACATCAGAAATCTGAATATAGACCTACCACATGACTCAGCCATCCCACTCCTGGGAATTTACCCAAACCAAAAGAAATCAGCACATGAAAGTTATCTGTACCCCCATGTTCATTGCAGCACAATTCACAATAGCTAAGATATGTCCATCAACTATTGACTGGACAAAGAAATTATGATATATATACACTACAGAGTGCTATTTTCTGCTGTAAAAAAAAAATGAAATGCTGTCTTTTGCAACAAGATAGACACAACTGGAAACCATTGTACTTAGTGAAATAAGCCAGTTCCAAAAAGACAGATATCATGTTTTCCCTGATCTGAGGTAACTAATAGAGCACCTAAAATGTAATGTATTGGAGTGAAATGGATGTTTTGAGATTTGACAATTGTTTACACCTTGTCTCTTCCATCAAGGAGCAGGTTTTTTTTTTCATACTATTTGTTAAACTCTTTTACTTAGTGTAGGATTAACTACACATTAAATCATTAAATAAGCTGAAAATAGACCTTTATAAAGATCTTTTTAAAAATTAAAAGTGGGGCTGTGAGAGTGAGGAGGAAGAAGGGTGGGAGTGTGGGCAGGACGGAGGGTGGAGGGGGAATATCACTACATTTCTAAATCTGTGTGTATGAAACTTGTATAACTTAAATAAAATTTTCAAAAATTAAAAAAGAAAGGCAGAGTTACAGAGAGAGAAAGGGAGAGACAGAGAAAGAGAGGTCCACCATCCAGTAGTTCACTCCCCAAAAGGCTGCAATGGCCAGGACTGGGCCATGCAGAAGCCAGGATATAGGAGCTTCCTCCAGGTCTCCCACGTGTGTGCAGGAGCCCAATTACTTGGACCATCTTCCGCTGCTTATTCCAGGCCATTAGCCTGGATCAGAAGTGAAGCAACTGGGACTTTTTTTTTTAACAAGGTATACAAAGTTCATTTAGGAACCTAGTGATACTCCCCACTCTACCCTCCTTCCCGCCGACCCACACTCCCACCCTTCCTCTTCCTTCCTCTCCTAATCCCCCTCTTAATTTTTATTATTGGCTACTTTCAGTTTACTTTATACTTAAAGATTAACCCTACACTAAAGAGTTCAATAAATAAAAGAAAAAGAAAAAAAACACTGTTCAAGGCTGTAAACAATCATCAAAGCTCAAAATGTCAATTTTACTCCAATACATTACATTTTAGGTACTCTATTAGTTACCACAGATCAGGCACTGCAGGTGGCAGCTCTACCCACTATGCCACAGAGCCGGCCCCCAGATGTCTCATCCTTGTGCTTCTAGAACTGTGAACTAAATAACCCTCTTAACTTACAAAGTTAGCTGGTCTTAGGTATTTCATTGCAGCAAAGAAAAGCTAACTTGTAGGGGCAGAAACCATTTTCATGTTCACAAAAGTGACTTTCCTTTTCATGTTCACAGTAGAAGGCATATGTCATTATGTTGTATTAGTGATCATAACTTTGATCATTGATTAAGATGATATCCGCTAGGATTCTTGGCTGTAAAGTTGCTGTTTTTCTATCTATAATTACTAAATAATTTCCATGCAAATATTTTGAATCTACATTAAAATGTTCTTTATCAACTGTTTTTTTAAATATTTATTTATTTATTTGAAAGTCAGAATTACACAGAGAGAGGAGAGGCAGAAAGAGAGAGAGGTCTTCCATCCACTGGTTCACTCTCCAGTTGGCCGCAACAGCTGGAGTTGTGCCGATCCGAAGCCAGGAGCCAGGAGCCTCCTCCAGGTCTCTCCTGCAGGTGCAGGGGCCCAAGGACTTGGGCCATTTTCTACTGTTCTCCCAGGCCATAGCAGAGAGGTGGGTTAGAAGTGGAGCAGCCAGAACTCAAACCAGCGACCATATGGGATGCCAGCACTGCAGGCAACAGCTTTACCCACTATGCCACAGTGCTGGCCTCCATCAACTGTTCTTTATCAAGCTTTCACACAATCATTTCATTATCTTTTGTGATTGATTGACTCAATTATAATTTAGCTCCATTATTCATCCTACATTAATCATAAGGTATTTTGCTATAAAAAGCTTTTCTTTCTGCTCATTTATCAATCTACATTTCCTTTTTTTTTAAGATTTATTTATTTATTTATTTATTTGAAAGGCAGAGTTACAGAGAGACAGAGGCAGAGAAAGAGAGAAGTCTTCCATCTGCTGGTTCACTCCCCAGATGGCTCCAATGGCTGGAGTTGTGCCGATCCAAAGCCAGGAGCCAGGAGCTTCCTCCCGGTCTCCCATGGGGGTGCAGGGGCCCAAGTACTTGGGCCATCTTCCACTGCTTTCCCAGGCCACAGCAGAGAGCTGGATTGGAAGTGGAGCAGCCAGGACGCAAACCGGTGCCCATAAAGGATGCCAGCGCTGCAGGCGGTGGCTTTACCCATTATGCCACAGCACCAGCCCCCAATCTATGTTTCTTTATTATCAATTTTGAAGCATATATTCTTATTTTCAATGATATATTATTTATTATTATCATTATTTGCTGTGTTACTCCTGTGTATGCTCCATCTTTTTGGGACATTTTCTTTATTCCTAGTACAGGATGCTCATCTTGTCTTAAAATCATGTGTTTTCCAAGGCAGCTTGAATGGGGATTTAGAAACCAGGATGTGGTGCGTCCATTGCTCATAAATCACCATTGTTTTTAATCCTTTCATTGAAAAGAGCTAGCAAATATAAAAATATACATATGGATATAAAGATTTCATATCTATAGCTCATCTTGCCTACATTATTATATAAGATTATGAATTTATACAACTGCACTACAATCTACATGGGTTCTTCTAGTCTACACATTCTCACATTTCTAATTCCCCTTCTCAAAACTAAGAAAATTGACTGTCAAAATTACTGATATATTTACTCACTTGTGCAAGTCTAAGTGGATTCTTTTTTTTTTTTTTTTTGACAGGCCGCCACGACTGGCGCACTGCGGCCAGCGCACCGCGCTGATCCGAAGGCAGGAGCCAGGTACTTATCCTGGTCTCCCATGGGGTGCAGGGCCCAAGGACTTGGGCCATCCTCACTGCACTCCCTGGCCACAGCAGAGAGCTGGCCTGGAAGAGGGGCAACCGGGACAGAATCTGGCGCCCCGACTGGGACTAGAACCCGGTGTGCCAGCGCCACAAGGCGGAAGATTAGCCTAGTGAGCCACAGCGCCGGCCTAAGTGGATTCTAGTACACCAGGTCACACAATTGAGAATTACAAATCTAAACTCTACATAACAAGATTGTTTGAAGTTACATTTGTCTTTAAAGTGAGAATTTTATGGTCAAAGTACTTTGTTCAGCAGTTCATGTGTTAAAACTTTTTTTGTTTTGCCATAACAGTATGGTTGTGCTGTTCACCTGAAAATAGATAAAGTTCATTTATTTCTGTCTATATTTTGCAGTAAAGGTTTCACCTATGGTTGATTTAAATATATATTTATTATGTAAATATTAGCATTCATTAAAAATCCAAAGCTGCATAGAAAGATAAACTCAGAGATGTGCCATCCTCTTCCTACTTCCACCTACTCTAGCAAATGCTTACACTCTATCACAGGATTGTCTGGTTTATTCTCCTGTGAAGAATAGGTGTATATTCCATGAAGAATAACTGTGCATGTTTCAATTTCCTCTCAACTTTCTTTGTCTTGCAAAAAAAAAAAGGCATACTACACTCTTTTGCTTCGCTCTGTTTTAGTTGACAATGTTAGAATTCACTTACGACAATTCATAGTGCTCTTGCTCCATCTAGTTTATGGTTCATTCCACTGGCTATACAGATGTTCCATCATTTTGTCCCTATTTTAACTTGCTTAAATTTTCAGAAACTGTGTATTTCATTTGTCATGCATAGTGAAATTGTTTTTCCCAGAATGTCTTTGCTTTTGATTTTACAATACAAAAATGGATTTGGCTTTCCTATATTTTGAAATCAGTTAACTTTTTTTTTCTTTGCTGAGAGGGTCTGTTCCTGCCTAAATGCAAGGGAGTAGACCAGGCTTCCTGAGCTTTGAGGAGAGCTTACAGAAGATACAAGAGCCTGGAATAAAATGGAAGAATGTGCCAAGTATCTTGTGTATTTTTTAGTAAACTGATAGAAAGAAACATATGGGACAGAGAATGAGAAGTTATCATGGCAGGGAGCATGAAATTATCAGAGCAGCTGTTTCTTGGGAAAGGGAGGGAGGAGGGGGCAAAGCAGTTAGTGAAAGTTGGTATCTGCTAGAGGTCTGGGTCGCAAGGAGCAAGTCAAGAAACATGTGAGTGGTACAAAGGATTTCTAAACCAAGGCAGATAATAGTAAGGAGCCAATTGCAGGACCATCAGCAGGTGGAGAGGAAACGGAGACCCACACAGGGCTTGTCCAGGTCAGGGGAGACTCCAAAGAACCAGGGACTCCCCGATACCTCCACTCCAGTGCCACACTTGGCATCACATCTCTTTCAGCTTCTTGGCCCCACACAGGCATCTGGCCACTGTTCCCAGAAGCTTCCCACCGAGCCATACAGAGCTCAGAATGAGCCCCAGCAGGAACAAGAAGACGTCAAGTAGGTACTGCTCATGCCACCACTGCTGGAAGGCATAGGGCTTGAGGTGCGCTGCCCCCCTTGTCTGAAGGATGTGGTCGACCCAGCCCACCAACCTCTGGGATGGGGTCAGGGGGTGGGAACACCTGACGACACTGGCAGACACGGCTGCAGCCTTGTACCTGTTGGCAGAAATAGAGACAAGTTGTTTCGGATGTGGCCTCACAAGACCTAGGATGCGTTCTCCTTTTCTATCTTATGCAACAATAACTGAGTTTTAAGGAAACTTTGGCTTTACAATAGTTTACTAGGGCCACCTTTAAACATCAATAATGATGCCTATACACAAACATCCATGCTTAATGCTACAAATGCTAAACTACACATTTAATCTACAAGATCAAGTTTGTGAGGACAAGTCCCTATGCCAAGGAAGCTCATGATATGCTATAAGAAGAGTACGTATGGTGCAGCTGTGCATATACACAGAGCACAAACTTTGTGCCAGCCTCCAGACTAAATGACAAACCACACTCTGAGGACTGCCAGGCGCAGGATGAGGTCTGTGTTTTCTTTCACCATCAGTGTATCCTGTCGACCAGAGCTGGCTTCCTGAACTACAGCCTGCATATTTACACAACACACTTGATAGCATCTTCTGCTTTCCTTAAGTCTCTGCTGCCATTGTCTTAATTTTTATATTTATAACAATAGATTATGCATTTTCAGTTCATACTGAACTATGTGGCTGGTTCTGGTGCTGCACAGTGTCTGGGGATCATCCCATCCCAGAATGACTCCATCAAAGGGGCCAATGGATCATGGCCATTTGGGGTCTAGGCCTTTGAAAATCCAGTGAAAACTATAAACTCACTGGCTGATGTTTGGATGCAGTTTGAGTGGCCCTCAAGAGTTCACATGTTGGGATCTTGGTCCAAAGTGTGGTGATGTGAACAGGTGGTGAAACCTTGAAGAGGAGGGACCTAGAGGGCAGTTACTGCTGGCCCATCCCCAGTCTCTCTGTCTTCCTGTCCCTTCATGAAATCTCTTCTTCTCACATGTTGCCCTCCATGATGCCATTCGCTGTGATGTAACCCAGCCACATCACCAAACGCTGAATTTTCAGCCTCCAAAACTGTGAGCTAAAGAAACCTCTTTTATTTATAAAGTCCAGTCCAGGTGATTTTTTTATACCAGCAGAAAATGGACTACTTCAGAAAAATAAACATCCACCACAGATGAAGTTGCAAATACATACAATTGTTCTGGAATGATCTGGCCCCTGGGCTTGACAACTTTTCTGTGGCTAAAAATCACAAGCAGTGTGTTTGTTTTTCAGTCATCTAACAAGGATTGCCAGACCGTCTCCTACATACAAGGCAATATGTTAAGCCCTCAGAATTGATTCAGATTGGTGCCTTTGAAGCTCTAATATCCTATGCAGTACTTCTTAAGCACAGCAAAGTTTTGTTTTGTTTTGTTTTGTTTTGTTTTTGTTTGTTTGCTTGCTTCACACGAGGTCACTGTGCTGAATGAGCAGTTACTGACCTTGGAGGTCACCAGACCCCTTTTATTTCCTCATTTAACCAAAATTGATTAGCCACTCACTTTTGTGACAGGTACTACGTTAAACACTGATAACACAGTGGAAAATACCAGGCACAAGTTGCTATCCTCACTAGTGAGGGGAGACAGGTAATAAACGAAAGCATTAAAAGTGGTGTAATCCCAGATGGTAAGTATTGTGACCCAGCAAACAATATAATTGGGTGGGCAGGAGAGGAGATGAGACCTGACTGTCTTGAAAGACTCATCCCAAGAAAGGAAGGGAAGGAGTGTTGGGGCAGTAGCTTGGGCAGAAGGCCAAGGATGGACCAGTGTGGTGTATTTGGAGAACAGAAAGGAAAGCTCCTGCCTCAGTGGGAGTCTACTGTAAGAACCCCGAACACCAGAGCTCTCATGGAGACTCTGTAGGTAGTTGGGGTTCCTCAAAACCCATAACGTAGACAATAATTCTCAGCATCTCACCAAATTGCTCTAGTCTTACTCCAGGAGGGCACAAGTCAGCTGTTAGCATTACTGGCTTGACAAATATTCCATGCCTTGATAAATTCACTTTTTATTGGAAAAGAGCCCCACACAATGCCTGCATGTTAAGGTTTTTGTTCAGCCTACATGACCACTACTCAAGAAAGCTGCATACCTCTTGTCTTCAATGACTTGCTTCATTGTAAGTGCCAGTGTCTCTGCTTTGAGGTTATGTAACTGAATAGAGACACCAAGTTTCTTGGCTTCTACTCTGACAATGTTTTCAGGCTGGTCTCCAAAGAGAGGAATCCCCACCATGGGCACGCCATACTGGATGGCCTCCATTATGCTGTTCTGCCCTCCATGAGTGACAAACAGACGAATGTTAGGGTGAGCTATTGAAAATAAGGGGAAAAAATGGAACATATCAGGATGGAACATTTCTGAACACCAGGCACAGCAGGAAGAGCATAAGAAAATACCAAAGAGAACTAGATGTGTTAAAACCATTGTAAATAATGACTGTGCTTATCTCTCTCTCTCTCTCTCTCTCTCTCTTTCTCTGACTATAACTCTACCTCTCAAATAAATAAATGAAATCTTTAAATATAAAAAAAGAATGGGACCAATCCCCTGTTGGTAAGTGCTCTCAGAGTTTATAGGTTGCCTTGGATTTTTGTTTTGGTTACCTTGTTCAGGACCAAATGCAAGAATATACAGAGGATGTTACAAGAATACCACCGCTGGCTCCAGACTATAGGCCTAGAGTAGAAAAGAATGAGGGCACAATGGCTGTTTTGGCATCTGACCTCATTGGAGGTATAGCCTGGTTCTCTAAGAATTCCAGCTGGCTGATCCTTTCTTATCCTGTGTAGCCTTGTGTTCATCTACCAAGAGTTCTTTCTAAGCTGGTACAAATGCTAGCAAGACGTCAAAACACTGAAGACACCCAAAGACAGGTAAATGAAAATAGAGGAGCAGATCTGGGCAACACTTACCTAGGAGGTCATTCTGAGGAAGCCAGTCCATAATTTTCACATTTTCAGCCAACTTGACACCTTTGGTCCAGTGAGAATGCTTACACTTCCATATTACCCCTTGTGAGAGCTGGGCAAAGGCACTGTTCATCTCCTGGAGGACTTCCCAGGTCTGGTAGGTGCTCACCATGGAACCAAGGGCCACAAGGACAAAACCAGAGTCCCCATACTTAGCAATGAAGTTCTCTAAGTCCTAGAGAGAGACAACAAAGGAAAGAGGGTGACAGGTTGTAATGAAAGCTGAGGCGGCCATTGACTTGTCTGATGCAAGTCAGACCATGTTAAAAATGCACCTTTTTATCTGTGCCTTGTGCTCACTGTCCTGAAACTATTATAACCCCTGGTACAGCTCAGTGGCCTGTGCATTGTGTTCATGTCCATTGTGATGGTGAGAACTTCTGTCTTCTTTGAAACCTTGGCCCCACTCTCAGGCCATCTCTGTCCCTCCGGAAGTCAAGTCAGCTGGCAATTTTCCAAGGCCAGTGCAGAGGGGGCAGTATCTGAAAGACTACCAGTGGGAAATCAAGGTCCAGCAGTAAGTGGGACTTCTAGAAGCTGGAATGGAGAAGCTGGGAAAACACCTGGGCCATAAAAAGAAATGGAGGCAGCATAGGGTGAAGCTCCTTGCTGCCTACACACAATGCACCATTCAGCGTGTGTGCCTACAGTATTCCATAATATTCTCAGCCACTGATCTTTATTTATTTATTTATTTATTTGACATATAGAGTTATAGACAGTGAGAGAAAGAGACAGAAAGAAAGGTCTTCCTTCCGTTGGTTCACCCCCCAAATGGCCACTATGTCCAGTGCTGCGCCAATCCAAAGCCAGGAGCCAGGTGCTTCTTCCTGGTCTCCCCATGCAGGTGCAGGGGCCCAAGCATCCTACACTGCCTTCCCGGGCCACAGCAGAGAGCCAGACTGGAAGAGGAGCAACCCGGACTAGAACCCGGCACCCATATGGGCTGCTGGCGCCGCAGGCAGAGGATTATCCAAGTGAGCCATAGCGCCAGCCCCAGTCACTGATCTCTGTACTTCATCCCTACCTCAGTGATTTACTCACATAGCTCCAAATTATACCCTCGTGGGAGGATTTTTTTTAATTCACATTGTCCATTCCCAAGGGCAGACCTTGGACACTGCTTTCTTCAAGTCCTCCAGTCAGTTCTTTTTAAGGAGGTTTCTGATATAATATCTTCATATTCACATTAATACAGCACTGTCAATTTTTGCTTCTCAATATTTCTTTACTTTTTTGTAAACCTGCACCCAGCTTCTCAAACCTCACCCTATTAGGGTGCTTTGCTCTATGGGATTCCCTCCAGAATTCCATTGTGTAATATAGTGTCCCAAAGGACCACTTTAACATAGCCTGTCAACTTTCCTTAATTATAAAAGTAAAATAAGATCATTAATATATAAAAATTGGAAAACGCACTGAGGAAAATATTTTTTTGAGAACAGCATCTGTTATCTCTTACACCCTTACTCATATTATTACCTCCTAACAATTCCACATCTGTCCCAGGGGCAAGGCCTGACACTTTCCTGTCAGGTAAGGCCTCTCATAATCCTACCTGGCTTTATCTGTGCAACTGAATCTTCCACTGCTCTGGTTCAGCCATATTACCAGGGAACCAATCTCATGGCCATCTCACTTCCACCTCTGCTGGAGCCCAGCTCTCCCTGCCTGAGAGGCCTTCCCTCCCAGGCCCATTCCTTAACATTCCAACCACCAACACAAAGTCCTTCTCACCAAGGGTCATTCCCTAATTCCTCCTGCTCGCTCAAGGCAAGGTGAGGGGAAGAAAAGCAGACACTGTGGTGCAGGAAAGACCCAGAACAAACCCTGGCTGAACCTGACTCAGAGTTGAACAAAACTGAGAAAGCCATCTGCATTATCGGAGCTTCTGTCATGAAAATGATCATGCCTCCCTACAGTAAGCAAAATTTGCATATAATAGCAACCCAATGCTGACACGCAATGGGCAGCCAACTAATCTAACTAGCTCTTCTCCCTGTTGAAAACTTCCATGACAGTGATTCTGAGGCCAGGCTGTGCATTCAAATCACCTGGGCCATGTTCATAGCTGATATTAGATGCAGCCCACCCTGAACAATTCAAATCAGAAGGTCCAGATAGAACTAGGTGTCAAGGTCCCATAGGTAGGAGACACTGGATATAATACGTGCAGTTCTTGCTGTCAGATCCTGGTAGTGTTTTCTGATTCACTGGGAATAATTCATTTCCTTAACAATGATTGCACATAATGAGCACTTGTTACATAACTTTCATACACATGGTCACATAAAATGCAAATGAAAACATCAATCTTAGTAGAGTTTATCCCACTGAGGCCAGGACTAGAGGAAGGTGAGAGAAGGCCAAGGTGTACTGGAAGTGAGAAGTTCTTCAGAAAGCATGGCCCAGGTACCTCCCTTGCCTAAACCTACTTCATACTCAGGATCCCTCTGGCCAGTGACAGCCATCAACCATGCACTGACGACCTCTATATAAAGCTCAAATAGAAGACAATATTTTACTTACTTGTGATACTGGCTTAATGGGTTTGACCATTAATCCTCCAATATACACAGTGTTGGGATTCAGGGGCCGAGCAAATTCAAAAGCAAAGTCAGAGTTAACAAACCAGAGCTCGGCTTTCTGTAGAAGATGAGACAGAACTGGCCTAGAGCCCTCCTGGAAATGCTCCTTGATGCTGTTGTCAAACTTAGACTGTATTTGCCATTGCTTCATGGAGAAACCAAAGAACATTAGGAAATTCTTCATCCGGCCCCAGAAGCTCATGTGGTCAGTCAGCAAAGAACTGAATACAGGAACGTAAGACAGGGGACTAGGGAGCCCAAAGTCCAAAGTGCCAAATGAGGAGGAAAGAAGAGACACAAATGGCTTCCCGAGCTTCTCAGCGATCAGGAGAGGACAGTAGTCAAAAATTTCAATTATCACCAGGTCGAAGTTCTCACTCTTCAGGGATTCCACAATATCCCTCCTCCTTAGCAAGTGACTGCACTGAAACCCCAGCTGTTCCATTACTTTTAAAAAGTTTTCAAAACTTCCTCTGTAAGAAAGAAATTAAGTGGTAGTCATGGCAGGTAGTAAACTTAGAAGGCCTAAAAGTATCTTGAGATACAGAGAAAATATCCCAGGTAAGCAAGAGGCCATCTAGCAACAGCCCACACATAACCTCTACCGTGGTCAACCTCTCTAGTTATTCCTGCTCCCTAGAGCGTTTTCCTCTCCCCTCCCCTTTCCTCTTCCGATCCAAATCCCACCCACCATCAGTGTCAGCTCAAGGTCCTGCTGCTCTGGAAGCTGTCAATCATTGTGGCAGATCTCAGAGTTCTATGTCTACTTAATAAATTTGGAAATTCTCTGTTTACCTCTTGTTAACACATTGATTGTATGGTTAGTGATTTTCTTGTTTTCTGTACAAGAAACTTGATGACAGAGTCCATCAATACATGATATAGGTTATTTTCTTTAGTCATTGTGTGTAGCATATGAGAGATTGTCTTTCTCAAGAAACTCTTTGATCACACTCAAACACAAAACCTGAATTAAAAATAGGAATTCTGGGGCCAGCATTATGGCCCCGCAAGCTAAGCCCACCTGTGATGCCAACATCCCATATCAGAGCACCAGTTTAAGACCCAGCTGCTCCACTTCTGATCCAGCTCCCTGCCTGCCACCCACATGAGAGACCAAGACTGACTTTCAGACTCCTGGGTTAGGCTTGACCCAGCCCTGGCTATTGCAGGCATTTGGGGAGTGAATTAGTAGATGGAAGATCTCTCTCAATCTGTTTCTCTGTCTCCTTCTCTCTGTCTGCCTTTCAAATAAAAATGAAAATAAATAAAAAAAATTAGAAGACAATACTCTCCTTTGTTCCTGGGAGCACATTGTCCCTATCATTCTGTCCTGGAGGCTGCCTTTCCCTGTTGACAAACTGCTGCCCAAAATATAGCCTGCCTTTTATGATAAATTCTTCTCCAGCGAATTTTTGCTGACAGTTAAACAAGGGGGTGGAGGCGGGGAAGGGAAAGCAAAACTAATTCTGAAACACATTTTTAGCCTTTCTGCTACAATGCAAGTTGGGATATTCAGACAAGATGATACCAAATCTTTACAACAAGATTTAGCCTATGCATCTGTTCCAGGGAGGTTTCTTGAAATGCTTTTCCATCACTGCCTGCATTCAGTGTCCTGCTGTACAACATGTGGGGGAAGTAGATGAGGACACCCAGCCACAGGTGATAGGCACAAGGCTCTAGACCTTAGGGCATGCTGGCTACAGACAGAACTGGGGTGCCAACACCTTGGCACACCTGTAACCTGCACACCACTGCACACTGCCCTCCTGTCAGAGAAGATGCACGGCCTAAGAACTCTGCCTGGTCTTGAGAATCAGCTTCAAGTCATTCAATGGAAGTGACTGATTAAAATCATCCTTTGCTGTACATCTTTAAAGATTTCACATAAGTAAAGGAACAGTTACTAACAGTTTTTAGATAACCTCATTAATGTAGTAAAAACATAGTTTATTAAACATATTTAGAATAAGCTAATGAACGAAGAAGTTTCAAAAATGCACCATTGGCTATACCTATCTTTGAAAATATTAAGCTGGGGAGAAAAGACAAGGCACAAATTCAAATTCAGTGCCAAGTGTGTGAATTAGAATAGACCTACAGGGGAGGGAATGTGGTCTTCCAGATTGGTTGGAGAAGAAGACTTAATGGAAGAAGACTTGCCCACACCTTGACAACTGAGTAGAATTTTCAAGAAAAGAAAGGGGAGTGGAGGTGAGCCATGACAGTTAACCAAGATTGCAATTCTAGCATTAAGGAGTTCTGTGCTCCTTTCCATTCCAGATAAGGTAAAAGGAGTCCACTTCATATCTCATTTATACCTGGTTGATTGCTTTGGAAAAAAACTTTTCATAACCATTCAACTTATACAAAATCAAAGTTTATAAGTCTTCTCTCCATTTAGAAATCAAGAAAACTTAAAAACATTCATTTAAAAAACGAAATTTAAAGTTAAGTTTATCTTGGTATGGAAAAAAAAAATGAACATCCATGCTTAGTTTTTGTATCACGTGAAGGGAGGAAAAAGAAGTAGGAAAAGGTGACTCTCATTACCCTATCAACAATGAAAAGTTGAGGGATCTATCCCTGTTTCTATTTGGGAAATTATAGGCGAAGTATTGCAAGGAAGCCCCTGAAGGACCAACGTTTCCTGATTGCCACAGAAACGTGTGCAAAAAGGAAGGATGCCCAGGGACTGTGCTGGATGATTGTGTGTGGTACTCATTTATTCACGCATCGCCTGTCTCCATCCATCCGTCCAGGTCTTGCTCTTAGCCTGCTTCACTTGTCCATGTAGCCATCCATCCATTAGCACTGAGCAAAATAGTGACTTTTTGGCTCAAAGAGTAAAGACAAATTACCTGCCATGCAGGGCTTCTTCCATAAAGAAATCAAAGCACTTCTTAAATTCTTTTCGATGGTCTTGGGGTGGAAGCCAAGTAATAACTTGGTATGATTTGGGCTCCTCTTTAAAATCTAAAAATATACCAATAGACTAAAAAAGTTAATTACACCATACAACATGGTAATATTGTCATAACCATATCAAATTTTTTATTCTAATTATTTTATAACTATGTAAATAAGTGCCTTTTGAAGCATTTTTATCTTTTGTTGCTTCTTCATTTACTCTAGCTTATAAACTGACAACATTTACTGAAACCCCTACAGTGATTCAGAATTTTTTTCTCATTTTAAAGTTATGGGGAGCTGGCGCCGCGGCTCACTAGGCTAATCCTCCGCCTTGCAGCACCGGCACCCCGGGTTCTAGTCCTGGTCAGGGCACCGGATTCTCCTCTTCCAATCCAGCTCTCTGCTGTGGCCCAGGAGGGCAGTGGAGGATGGCCCAAGTGCTTGGGCCCTGCACCCACGTGGGAGACCAGAAGGAAGCACCTGGCTCCTGGCTTTGGATCAGCGCAGCGCGCCGGCAGTAGCAGCCATTTTGGAGGGGTGAACCAACGGAAGGAAGACCTTTCTCTCTCTCTCTCTCTCTCTCTCACTGTCTAACTCTGCCTGTCAAAAAATAAAAATTAAAAAAAATAAAGTTATGGAAATTTTAAATGAAAACATTTAAAGGTATAGCTATTCTATGTCTCATTTTATAGGGAATACAACAAAGGCTAGCCTAGTTACGACATTTTGTCAAGGTTCTACACACAAGTGGTAAAGTTAGTACTTAAATGCAGGTCTGTTTGATTACAGAAGCTCTGAGCACTTCACTGATTGTAGGGGGAATTTTTTTTTTCATTGTTAAAAATGACATGCAAAGATAAATTTTTGCTCAGTCAAAAAGTACTAAAATGCCTCATTAAAATAGAACTTCCATGCATCCTTATTTATTAACTTGGCCCCTTTTCCATTACCCAGTAAAAAACCCAGCTCCATTCTTGATGCTTGGCTATTGATGGGTTTCAAGCCTATCTCCCCCTCCCTTCCTGCCTCTTCTGGGGTGACTGGTATGAAAACCCACATGCTCCCTCCTTTGGTCCTGGCAGGAGTTTCAAACCATGGAAGTCAGGCCAATGGGGAATATTTACCCAACCGCTACTCACATTAAATCTCAAGCCAGTCATCCATCTTTGAGCTCAAAGCCATTTTACAGATTTTCTTGGGAGCCTGCCTTGATCTTCTAAAAGAACCCTATTATAAGAGTTATGAATTGTTCATGCACTCTTAATGTATGTGAACCTTCATCAGTCATGACAACCAAATCAAATGTTGTGTAGAGATTAAAGGTAGATCAATGCATGATCCCACACATTAAGGCCTCATGATGCACTATTCCATGCATTAAGGCCCCATAACCAATCTGACTGAAATTACAGACTCTATCCAAGGATCCATGGGAAAATACTTTGCAGACAGATTTGGTTATATGTTATTTTCAGAGCCTATTTCAACAGGCCCCATGCAGAGTTTGCCCACAATGTGGAAGGGATGTAATATACTTTTAAATGTCTACCCATGGGGTATATTACCCAGAATCTTGCCAGAAAGATCTTTACTGCTTCCAGCTTTGGCCAGGGGTCCAAATACAGCATTACCTTGAGGACGTCCTCCTCTGAGAAGATTCATTTGATATACTTACTCAAGACAGACATTCACAAAGGAGCTCGCAAAATGGATGAACCATTGCCCCACGCAAAGCACAAGGTCTGGTACCCCAGCGAAATTCCTAGTAGTCACTTGTTCATCTGAAGGTCTCTCCATTTCTGACTCTATCACGAAACAACTATTGACCCTCCCTGCACCTACAACATTACAAGTCCAACATCTTGTAGGCCATTTTGCACTCTGGAGACAACATATTTCTTTTATATATATATAAAATATATATTAAAGAATATAAAATATATTATAATATTAAAAATAATATATTATAATATTAAAAATAATATATAATATTATATATTATAATAATATAAAATATAATATATATTTATTAGAGCCCATTCATGCTTATAAGTTAGAAATCAGTCCACTTTTAATAAAGCCCCTTATTTTAAAAATGCTCCAGAATGTGTCTGCTTTCCAATACAACAGGTACTACCAGAAGTGCTCCCCAAAGGCTCTTCCACTATTAAGGCTTTAGCAATTTCCCAGGAGCTCTCTAACCACCTATCATGTGTATAATTCCCTATTTCTGCTGTGACAAGCTACTATAAATCTAGTGAATTCACACAACATGTCTGTTATCTTACAGTACTGGGTGTCAGAAGTACAAAAAGCATCTCAAAATTAGCATGGCCGCATTCCTGCCAAAGACTATAGGGAGCAACCGATTGTTTTCTTTTTCTTTTCTTCTCTTTCTCTCTGTCTCTCCCTCTTTCTGTAACTCTTTAAAATAAATTTTAAAAATAAAAATTTAAGGTAATATACTAGTTATTTAGCTAGATCTCCATTCAAGGTAGGTTCAAAGGGATTTAAATTATGTTCAGTGAAGAATATGGAATCTAATAAAAATAGTGATTAAAGTAGTTTCAAGCTGGGACTCAAAAAGATATTTATACACCAGTGCTCACAGCAACAATATTTACAATAATCAAAAGATGTAAATAGCCCAAATGTCCATCAACAGATGAACAAGTGTATACTTGGAAGGGAGTATTATTCAGCCCACAAAAGGAAAGAAAGTCTGACACCTGCTACACCATGGATGAACCTTGAAGACATTACAATAATTGAAATAAGCCACACACAAAAAGAAAAATGTAGTATCATTCTAATTATATGAGCTACCTAGTGTTGTCAAATTAATAGAGTCACAGTGAAACAATGGTTAGCAGAGGCTATAGGTAGAGCTAACAGGCAGTTATTAATTAATGGTAGATTTCTGGTTTGTAATGATAAGATAGATGATGGTGATGATTGTGTAGTAACATAAATGTCCTTAAAGTCACTAAACTATACACTTAAAATGGTTTAGAATGGGCATATTACATGTTATGGATATTTTACCATATTAGAAAAAATTGATTTTAGAATTAAGTGAACATTTTCCACAGAAAAATACTGCTTTAATATATTCTGAACAATATTTACAAACCTGCAGTCACCTTCACAATTTTATAATATCTCAGAATTTTGTTCCTCAGAGTATTGATTTTTTTTATTTTTATTCACTTATCTATTTTTATGTATTTGAAAGGCAGAGAGACAGAGAGAGAGAGACAAGCAGATGGACAAACAGAAATCTTCCATCCACTGATTGACTCCTCAAACAGCCAGGGCTAAGCCAGGTGGAAGCCAGGAGCCCAGAACTCAATGAGCTTTCCCATGTGGATGGCAGGGACAAAATCCTGTGAACTCTCACCTGCTGCTTTCCCAGATGTGCATTAGCAGGAAGCTGGACTTGGAAGCTGAGTCGGGACTCAAACTCAATGGGATGTGGGAACCCCAAGCCCCATTTTAACCACTGCACCTAATATCTACTCCAAACATTCTTGATTGGAAATTAAAAAAAAAAAAAATCCAATCCTGCACAACACTTCATACTGAACAATCCAGAACGTGCAGTTCTAAATACACCCAATTCTGTTATTAATCTGTCATTTCACCCAAGCAAACCTTTTATTTTTATATTTTTTTGACTGAAGTTGTTTCCTTATCTGTTAGCAGGGAAGAGTTGATATGATTTATAAGTTTTGTTTTAGCTAAAATTTGCTGGATCCAATGACTTGGTTAAGAACTTTTGACATCATTATACACAAACTCATTAGTGACAACCAATTTTTCCAAAATAGGAAATTACCTCACTGGTAGATTCTTAACTTAGCTGCACAAAAAGGGAGCTCCCTGAGCTCCCTTTCAAATATCATAAAAGGAAAAAATATCCTGTGACAAATAGAAAGAAAAGTGATTTTCACAGATTAAAATTGTTCAATATGGCTGAATACTTCTGCCCATACTTTCAAGCCATATTATAAAGTGGCACTTATCAAAATAATCTGTAACAACATGTAGAGGGATGCTTCAAATGGTGTAGAATCCAGATAAGGGAGAAAAATTTGGGAATGTGGAATATAGAGTCTTGGTTGATAGAACCTAAGAAATTTTCCAACTCTTTACACACACACACACACACAGAGACTGTACATAGACCTTTTGCTTCTCCTCAGTCTGACTAGATATTTTGAAAACATTTTGCTAAGTTTTTCCATGAAAATGCATTTTACTCTTTGCCTAGAGTAAAAACAAATCAAGAATTAGAAACGATACCTGACATCAGAGAATTTCCTCGCTGATGAAGCATGGTGACATTATGACCATGATCTTGAAGAATCTGGGACACCCGGTCCACCAGTAGGTAATGGCTTCCACCTAGGAGCAGGTTACAATGTCAGCTTCTTAAAGATGAGAACAGAGGGTCTGAGGTTCATAGGGTGATAAGTTCAGGAGAAGAGGGGTAGGGGAGCAGAAAGCTGGAGTTGACAGTAAGGAAAGGAAGATGAGCTCTGTCTGTCCTTCCATCTCCCTCTGGGTAATCCCCACATACCAGAGCACAAGTGTCCAAACCCTTGATCAATGGCAGACCTTCATCAAGGAGTTCCTCTTGTGGCTCCTGGTCTCCATGTCAGTGACATGAGTTTCTCTGTGCTTAGATCTGAGGAGTTTCTGATCCTCAGGTACATGCTGTATTTTTCCAGGGCCTTACAGAAACAACCATGTCCTAAAGAAATAACTACACAGTGGAAAGTTAAGCAGAGTTGGTCATGTGTTTTTGAAGGATTCCTAACTACCAATCAATCAAAGCTATTTCTGAGCTCTTCCTCTTTGGAAATTAATGCTACTATAGGAGAGAGATATAGAAGCTATAAGTGAATCCAAGAAACAGCTCTTGGAGCAAAAGATGTAGACCCACCACTTACAGCCCAAATCCTTGAGGTTCAAAAGTATTTGGCAAGAAGTTGCCCAATTTTAGCCTGAGAGTTACTCAGCTTAGGATTACGACATTCAGGACAACTGCCTGGCCCATGAGGCAAAACTGCTGGGTCCCAGCTGCAGCAGAGACTAAGAAATCGTTGATCCTAGCACAGCCCTGGGATACTAAGGAGAGGGAAGCCTGATCCTCAGGAGGGTGTAAGTGCCACCACATCAACATTCACTCTTACACCACGTCCCAACACAGAGCCTCTGCTTGAACCCAAGGGACTCGGCAACAGAGAAAGCAATGGAGAAGTGAATGGCAAAGCCAAGTGTTTGAGGATGTGGTTGAGAGGGTTGTGGAGCTAGAGAAGCAGTGCATGGCCCTGGAAATGACTCAGTATTTTTACACCCAGACTTGCATAGTTTGAAGTAACAAGAGATATTTAAGTGCAAATCCTCTACATGCTTACTCATGTTAGCACTTGGTACCATGGAGATGCCACAAAGGCAGCCATTCACCACGGGTCTGGGTGAGTCAGGTGCATTCTGGGGTAGAATTCCAGGACCTCAGAAACCACACCAGCTCCCTCTTGGAGTGTGAGGAAAAGGATCAGTGTATCTTCTACAAGGGTGGAAACTCTTTCACTTCATTGCTACTCATATTGAGGCAGAAAAAATACGTATAGGTTTCAGGTGGAATTGCAGAGTTTCTTAAACTGTGATTTAAAAAAACTATATCCTCACTGTAAGGGACTTAAGAGAGGAAGGTGTGGAGAGGGCAGTCCTGGGGTTAGAAACCGCGAGTGAATTCTCCGTGCTCCTGAAAAACAAGTTGCACCCCCTCGACCCTGAGGTTTCCTCTCTGAAAATTCCAGATTAGGGCTGACCTAGCTGATCTAGGGTTCCTTCCGGCTCCAAGAGGATCTAAACGTGATCCAATTCAGCCCACGACGAGTTGAACGGAGTGAATGACAAGGACGACCGAGAACGACCTCTATCCTGTCATATACCCCTCTTTCACTTCTTATCCACTTTGGGGCAAAAGTAAAGAAGATAACACCGAAGCCACCAGACGCAGAATTCACGGTCCCACGCGATTCTGAAAAACTTGAAGCAGCACAGGTCAAAGGAAGGAAGATGACCTGGGTCTGCTGCACTTCAGCTCCGACCGGTTCTCAGGGTTTGCTCGGGATGGAGCCAGGCTCCCGGCACAGCCACCCTGCTCCTCCCTGGCTCTGGATCGTGCTGGGGGATGCCCTTCTCACTCGGTGAGCGCGTCCCGAGCAGGGAGAGAGGGCACAGGAGAGCTCTGTTTGTTCCAAAACTAGCTTCTCCACTTCAGCGGAAGGGGTCCCTGCCTGTCCCCCAGCAGGGCCAGCTCCTCCATCTCCAGCCCCGACACCAGCCCTGCGTGAAAGCCTCGTGGATGACCCCTCTGATGCCCCGGGAGCGCGCGAACCCCGGAGCCTCCTCGGATTTCTCCGGCGCTCACTCACCCAGTGTTGACACAGTTAGGATTTTGGCGGCCTCTGAGAGCAGGGTCCCGGAGAGAAGGAAGCCCCCTAGAAGCAGCGCCCGCTGCCCATCCATGTTCACTCCCGCGGAAGTCACGGAGCCGAGCCCCGAGATGCGCGCCCTGAGCCCCGCGGAGGGACTTGTGTCCCTCGGCGCCAAAGGCACTGGACGCGGACCTGGGAAGAGGTAAGAGACCAATAGGATCCAGCTGGCTTTGCATCTGGCCCCTCTCCCTTCCCCCCTCCTTCCTCAGCGTGTGTCCATTGGATATTTCACTCCTCTCCCACCCAAACCACAGGCGTCGGCAGGAGGGGCTGCTGAGCGGATCCGTAACTCTGCTCTAGCCTTGGAATCCCTGCCCTCCCGCCTGAAAAACACTATGAATCAGGGTGGCAGAAACCTTAGGAAATCACGTAGATGAGAGCTCCACCCAATTCTCTTTAAGGGATGCTGTCTTGAATTCGTGGTCCTCTGCCTCTCTTCCACCTGCCTCTATGACGTCATACATCGCCATCTCGGTGCCCTGTTTTTTCCCAGGGACCTGCTTAAAAACTCTAGCCGGTCTTGAGCTCTGAACCTCCCTGGAAGAGAACCACCATGGGAATTCTATCTCCCATCCCTCGCTACTGTCTGTGATGGCCTCTGTAGACTGCAACAGATATGATGCGGTAGCGTCCTAACCTTAGAAGTCCGCATCTCTACCTGGAGGGCTGAACTTTCAAAGACGAGACTAATTCCAACTGAGTAGCGTTATATGGGACTGAGGATTTTTCCCCATATCCCAAGCATGAGTTAAGAACAACTTGTAAGCTGAGGAGGGCAAGGAGCGCCATCCCTGGAAGTCACCTTTGCACTCTGCCCTCAGACCAAGACCTGCCTGCTTTAGGGAAGGCTTTCAGTGCAATCCTAAAACAGGCAAAGAGCCAATGAGAAAGCAGCTATGCAAATAAAGGGATTCAGAGATTTGCATACAAGTTCCCTGAGGTCTTTGGCCAAATCCTAGAGAGTGTGGGACAAGATTTCCTCTGTTCTCTGTTGTTACTGCAGAATACCAGGGACTGGGGGATTTATAAAGAAAAGAAGTTTATTTGGGCTCACAGTATTGGAAGTCGCAAGTCCCAGATCCAGCAGCCAGACAAAGGCCTCAGGCTGCATGGTAACATGGCAGGTGTGTGTGAGTGGCAAGCAGGTTCGTGCAGAAGACCGGGAGTGGACAAAAGAACAGAGCCACTTTATGACAACCTGCCCTGGGAGAAATACTCCGTTCCTGCAAAAACGAATCCAGTCTCCTGAAAAAGACTTTGATACCTCTTGCTGCCACATTGACAACAAAATCTCAACATGAGTTTTGTTAGGGACAAACCAAGTACAAACCATAGCATTCTCCATAGCTCTGGTGGAAATAAGATCCCATGGATCTTAACACTAGCAGACGTAGGAGTTTCAAGAGCCAGAGTTGAGAAGTCCTCGCTCAACACACACAGCACAGGGAGACAAATGTCTCCCTGTCCCATTGTTGGTGAGGCTGTGCTAAACTGAGGTGGTGAGTGCAATCAGGTTTCTCCATCATAGTTAATATGTTTCTCCTTACAATTATTGAGTAAAGAGATATTTTGAGATTATGGCTTATCAAACCGATTACTGAGGGGAAGAAGAGGTAATGGGGGGTTTAGTGGACACAGAGTGTCAGTTTGGGATAATGGAAAAGTTCCAGAGATAGGTTTGGAGATGGTTCTTCAACAACTTGAGTATACTTAATGCATACATGAGTACACTTAAAAGTTGTCGAAACAGTGAATTCTATGTAATGTATATTTTACTGTGATTAAAAGAACAGCAATTTGAATTCGAGATCTGTCATGGCTGTTTTTGTCTTTAGATTGAGGATATAGATCTGTCCAAAATTTACCTGGATTATCTTCCCCTTCAGTACGATTATGTCATTTAATTTAAAATGGTCATTTCATTAACAAATTGATTCTGAATGTCAAAACTCTCAGTAAAGACATAGGCACTTCCTTTCCAATCCTTTCCCTATCCCCATGCATCTACTATGGCTAAACAGACTCATTCTTTTCTGTTTTATTCCTCATTATCCTTATTTTGGCAAATATTCAGGTGCACAGATAGTACTACACTGTTCTTCCACAGAAGGAATTATGTTCTAGAACTTATACCACACTGATTTCTAGAAAGCCATATAGTATCCCATTACATGGCTGTAGCGTAGTTGCTTCAGCTAATCCCCTAGGTATGGGTGATTAGGTTGTTTCTAATATTTTGCAATTTATTATAAGAAATGCTGCAATGACCAGATGGGCTTTAATGTTGCTGGAAGTGTATCTTCAGGGTACTGTCTTCAATTTGGGAATACTGGGACAAAAAAATAAATGCATGTGCAGTTTTGTCAAGTCCTGCCAAATTCCTCTTTGCCTGTGACTAATGCTGTCAGAACCTGTATTCCCACAGCCTCAGCACAGAATGTGTGTTCAAGCTCCGCAGTGGATAGATGGACTTTGGGCCTAGCCATTCAGATGTCAATTAGGATGGCTGCATCCCATATCAGAATACCTCAATTCTACAACCAGATCAATATTCTAATTCCAGCTTCCACAGCGATGAAGGCTCAAGTAGTTGTGTTTGTACTATCCACATCGATGAGCTAGATTGAATTTTCAGCTCCCAGCTTCAAACTCCAACCCCACCCTCTGCCAGCCAGTGTGGGTATTTAGGAAGCGATCCAGCAGATAGGAGCTCTCCTTCTCTCCCTCCCTCTGCCTCTCAAATAAATAAATAAATTTTAGGCCTTCAGTTCTTTACTGAGATGCCTGCCTGGTCTGTCAGGTGTACTCTCTTTGTTATTTCTCTTCATTAAACTTTGCTACCATTCTTACCACTACAAAAAAATTAATAGGCGATATAAACCTTTGTAACTGTTGACAATCTAATAGGTGACAAGTGACATAATAGTGGTTTTAATTTGCATTTATCTGCATATAAATGGACAAGCATCTTTTCATGTGTTTTAGAGTCATTTATACAATATGTATGTGCACACATGAACGTGTGTATAGATTTTATGCTCTTGAATTTAGTCCACTTTTCCATTGAGTTTTCTGGTGATATTTTTCACCTCAGTTTTAAGAATGTATTATATAATAGGGTGGAGTTTTGTATGGTAATATCATTCATGAATAGCTTTTGTTGCTTGGTGATAGGGTTAGGGGGTTGTATCATCCATCTTCCTACTGTTATCTATGGGATATTCTCCCCGTTACTTATATTTTCTTTAAACAAAATATCCAGAAGCAGAGAGAGAGAGTGAGGTCTTCCATCTGCTGGTTCAATCCCCAGATGGCCGCAATGGCTGGAGCTGAACTGATCCGAAGCCAGGAGCCAGGAGCTTCTTCCGGGTCTCCCATGTGGGTGCAGGGGCCCAAGGACTTGGGCCATCCTTCACTGCTTTCCCATGCCAAAGCAGAGAGCAGGATCAGAAGTGGAGCAGCTGGTACTCAAACTGGCGCCCATGTGGGATGCCGGCACTGCAGGTTGTGACTTTACCTGCTATGCCACAGAGCCGGCTCCCTCAACAAAATAAACAGTGCCTTCCTCCTTCCCTTTTACTCTTTTCCTCTCAGAAATAAAGCCTTCCCTGGAACGTTAGCTTGAGTCCATAACATGTTCACGTGTACCTCTGCTTTTGTCAAAATGCTGATGTGCTAGAGCTCTTTCTCAGAATTTTCAACTGTAATGTAGACTTTCTCTTGCGAGCATGCTTTTCACTCACTACACAAAGGAAAGAGATGGAGAAAGTCCAGGGAGGCTCATGTAGCCTGGCGGGTGTGCTTGTTTGACAAAAGAACATTGCAGATCCACATGTCTCTGGTTGAATGGTGCAGTTAGGGATGGTGCCAAGGTTATCAGGTCCCACCTGAGGCCAATGACTCTGTACTGTTACTAAGATAAAAGTAGAAAAGAGGAGAATTAAGCTGGTGACATCAGGAAATTTGGGGATAGACATGGTGACCCAGTGTGTTTATCTGTTCATGGAGTAGGCCCCTATAGTTCATTTGTGTGTCAGCAACCATGCTTTTTCCTACCATGGAGTGCATTATAGGCATGAAAATTTTGAACATCACTGCTGCTTGAGGGGCTTTGCCATAGCAATGGGGCACATTCACTCCTTCCTGCCACCTTAGCTACCCGAGCACCAGGAGTTATTTGGCAAAAGCAGTAACCTGTACTGAGTGGAGAAGTGCACATTGTTTTGTTAATTCAGGACACACAGAACCCTGTTACAATGCAAGAACTCAGTTTGGCTAATGAAAAAAGTCTGTTAGGCATGAAGGCTAATGATAAACTATTATAGGCTAAATGCCAAGGCCACCTAGGTGGGATTCCAAAAAGAACTCCAGGTACTGTCAAATAAAATTCCTGCTCTTGGAAATACCCACTAACAAAAAGGAGACCCAAAGGCAAGTAGGCCCCTTTAGGTTCTAAAAATAGCATGTACCCAACCTGGGTGTTCTTTCTGCCCCCTTAGTCAAGATGATCCACAAAGCTGCCAACTTTAAATGGAGCTCTTTGGCAGCATCAAGACTTGGATGCCATTCAACACGCCATGACCCAGGCACAGCCTTTGAAATCTGTAGCGCCTACTAGCCTGATAGGATTACAAATGTCTGCACCCACCAGGCCTGCTGATTAGAGTTTGTAAAAGCTGAAAGTTTCCACACAAATGAACCAGACTCTTAGATTCTGGAAGCCTTTGTTTCCTAAGGCAGCCACCAGATGCACTTCTTTTGACTGGATACTGGTAGAGAATGAATGTTTTATGGTTGTAATGCCACATGTTACCCTGTGACATGAACTGCCCATTCTTACTTGGGTGCTTATAAACCCCTAGAAATGAATGTGAACAAACTCAATGGAACCCAATTATCACATGGGAATGGTACATTTAAGATAAGGGCCAGACAGGATTGCCAAAGGACCAATAGCCTCCAAAAACACAGGACAGTTTGCTAGAAGGGACGAAACAACCTATAGGGAATAGTTTAGCCCTTACTGTGACTACCCTGAACTGACAATTCCCAGTCCACTGTGGCTATTGACCATTTGGCTGGTTTTCTGATGGCTCTGGAAAACTCTAAGCATATGGAGTCCACTGGGCTGCTGCTGCCATACAACCAAAGGCTGACCAAGACTGGACATTGATGTTCTTCCCAATGGGCCTAACCAAATGCTGTGGGCTCATGTGTAAGGGCTCGGTCCCCAAAGACTGATGTTAATGGTACTAAGAGGGTGGCATCTCATCCGATTACAGTTTAGATGTGTGGACTCTGTGAGGTAATTGAGTTGGATTGAATCATTAGAGTAGA